ACATCCAAATTCAAGTGGCTCTTAGTGTCTGAGACATACTTGATGTAAAACTCTTCAATTAGGAGAAAATCTAGTCCTCGTTTTGCCACCTGCAAACCTATAGGAAAAATCAGGTTACCTTTTATTTTTTTATGTATTAGAATTCGAGCAAAAATTGATTAAAAGAATGATTAATCAAATTAATAAAGGAAGAAATATGATAATGAAGTGAACAACCAATTTACAACATAAAATAGAAAGTTTCGTGAAAAGCTTTTATTTATGAAAAAATAAAATTATAAGTGGAAAGAAACCTGTTGAAAACTCCTTAATGTTACATTAAAGAAAGAGAAAGACCCAAGAGTGACTTGTCCAAGCAAGTATGGATGACCAGAGGCAGAGCTGTTAGCACACAGATGTCCTACTTCAAGTAACAGGCAAAGAAAGCCCTGTAATTTTAAACCACTACTTCAGAAAAATTAAAACAAAGAAAAAAATAACCAGCCCTGTTTCACCATCAGCAGTTTGCATATTGGTGCATGGCATTTTTCTGCCCATATGTATGTGTACAGATTGAGCTCTCACTGGACATACTGAGGGTTGGACAAAATTAGCATAAGAAACTCATAGGTCCTAGATTAAAGAAAAGTGATGGAAGAAGCAGTTTGATGACAGATAACTTCTACTACACGCACTCCCATGCTCCTAAAACATTTTTTAATTCCATATTATAGCCAGGTTGGGGAAAGAGAAAAATGTTAGGAATAAGAATAAGAAAAAAAATAAAGGAAAAAAAGACAATAATATGCTCTCACCATATGACAAAACAATGAGTAAAGAAGTGAGGAGCATTAGTGCTGGAGTTCCAACTCTCTCTACCCTGAGTTTTCTCCCATGCAAAGGGGATATGATAGTAGTACTTGAGAGGATTAAATTAGCTAATAACATATGAAGTTAGCATGAAATGTAAGCTGCTTTTATTGCTATGTTAATTTCAAGGAGAATATTCACTCTCTTGATTTAAAATATGGTTAAAAATGGCTAGGATACATTTAAAATGTTTCTATTCCCACCGAAAATTGGGATGTACAAGGCATGTTAAAATCTTATTATTCATATTTAGTGCTTTTTGAGATACAAGTGTCAGACTTAAAGATAGATGTAAGACTAGAGTGAACTCAAGTTTAAAACTAAACATGCAGGTTATTTTCTTGTCTTGTAATAGGAGTGGGAAGAAGGCAAAGACAACAGCAGCTGCTAGGAACAGACGAGGATGCCATCAGAAGTCCCACTTCTCTCTCCCCGGGGGACCTCTGCTTATGAATCCCTTCTTTCCTCTTACCCAGGCTTTCTCCATGTGGCAGGAACATGACCACTATGTGAATATTGTCAGGGCTTGGCTCACATAATTCTAGTTCTCTGACAGGCAAGCAGAGAGAGCTCTATTTTGGCCTGAACTGCTTGATCCTGTGCCCATCCTGATCACCTGTGGCTTGGGAAATAGGGTGTTGTGAGGAATGACTAGACTGCCCTGCCTCAGTGGACAGGGAAAGAGGGGCATATGACTAGGAACCTCTGCAGAAGCTCATGGGCCTGGGGAAAGTAGTTCCCCAAAAAAAGAAAGTTTCCATAACTTCTTTCTGTGATGGAAAGAAGGGAACATGAAACTGACAGAAGCTAATAGGTAGGTGGGTACAGGAGGGGAAAAAAGGAGAGATGGAGATTTGTTCATTTTGTAAAGGAGCAAATGTTGATCCCTTGAGGATGGAATGTCCTCTTACATTTTATACAGTAATTCCCCTTGGAGTCAGCGCCAAAGAGGTAGTTTGTCACCTTGTACATACAGGACATTAGATACCGAAACTTCTTCTGCAGACTGAATGGCATTTAGTCCAAGATTTATTTCCATCCTCTGGTTTTTGTGATCCTCCACAAAGATTTCATTTCTGTTGTTGGGACATCTGTGCTATAAAGAGCAATTTTTTTAAATTGAAGAATCATAGTCATTTCTAACTACACTTAAAAATGCAAAGGAAAAATCCCTCTTATGGATTGTATCTATCTCTCTGTTATATATTTTCTCTTTCTTTTTTTGTCATTGTTCCTGTTATTTGCTTTTTCCTGAAGAATGTAACATGCTTTAGAGTTCTCCATATTCTAAATCTCATTTAAAAAGTGTTGAATCAAGGAAGTCTGCCAGCTCCTTTTGTTTTCTCTACTTTTCTCTCCATGTTGGACTGCTCTGGCAAAGGAGAGTAATATTACCTTACCATGTAAAACATGGTTAATGGCTTTAAAAGAATTCCCCAGCAACTGAATAATGGGCTGCCAAAAATATTCTTGGTGCCAAAGGATCTGGATATGTCTGTTCCATTTATTGTGTGTTTCTCCTTTCATCATGACTAAGTGCTCACAAAAGACATAAAAACCTAACCCTCTAGGGTATGTGGTGTTTGAGGGAAGAAACCATATTTTAATATATTCAGTCCTACATATTGTGATGCTTAGCAAAGTATCAACAGCAAACAGTGATGGATGCCTATGGAGCATAAGAGGCTCAAATTATTAATTAGATTGATTTCCAGCGACAAGAAGCAAGTCATTCCATCATTTATATTGTGCTTGGTTGAGTGGCCTAATAATGCTTGTTCTAAGGGTTTCAGGAAGTCTAGCACCAAACACTTTTAACTTGTTCTGCCTGTTTGAGTAAGTTTACTTTTCTCAGAAATAAGAAGGTGGAACCTATTTCTTAATTAAAGCTCCATGTTCTAAAAGCCTGATAATGCAGTGTAGCAAAATCATTTATTTTTATTTTACTTTGATAATAAATTGAGTCTATTAAAAAGGGTTTTCTTAAATTTGTTTAAAATTAATTTAGGAATATACTGAAAAAAATCTGAGAAAATGCAGATGTAGAAAAATTTTAAAGGTGTTTTGTTTTTCACTGGAAGGAAGAAAAGTCCAGAAAAGGAGGATCTAAACCCACTCCTTTCCCCCCCACCCCCAACTTTTGCCTGGACCCTTCCTACTTGGTCTGTGCTCAGACTGTCTGGTTCTCACTTGGCAGGAGACTCTCAATCTCTCCTGCTTCTCAGTTTGGGCCAGGCCATTGCCAGCTGCCCTGGAATACAATGTGGTTTCTGATTCAGGCTATTCCTCCCCGGTGTCTTAATTATTAGTCTCAAAGGGGCAGGATAATTGTCTCAAAGAATTCCTGAGATAGAGACTCTTAATTGCTTTGCATGTGACTCAAGGACAGATTACATACATATGGAATTCAGTCCCTTGGGCCCCAGGCCATGAGAAATTCTTGGGCCGATTAACTAAAATTCCATATTATTTACTCCAATATGCTTCAGCAAAGCGTTGGAATTCAGTTAGTAAGAGTAACTTTATCCAAGGAGATAAACCTGCATCTGCTTTAAGTTGGTATGTATATGGGTCTATAATTCATATCTGAAATTTAGTCCTTTATTATTTTTAAAAATTACTTTAAATTATCTATCAACCATAGAGTATGAACCCAAACCCCATGGTGAAACACCGTGCGTGTGCTGTCTTGGGACTGGTTCAATCCTCAGAAAAGACACTACTGCATAATCTCCCGTGTTTCCAGAAAATCTGTCTAATGTTTAGGAGACACTGAGTGACCACCTGAGGATGACATGTGAGATAGAGTTCTCAGGAAAGAAACATAAACGCCATCCTAATTTATTGTGGCTTTAGGAAAAGAAGCAGGCTAGTTTTTAGGTGCCCCTGGAGACCAGTGCGGAATCCACCACTTCCTGTTTGCAGACCTAAATTATGCAGAAAGGCAGCAATTATCTGCTGTGATTATCAAGCAACTAGTACAAAGCACAATGTATAAATTTAGGGATACATGGGTGTTTACTTGAAATAGTTACTGAAATCAAAATATTTTTGTAACTCATTAAATATCATGAAAATGTAAAACTATGGCCTAAGCACAATCCCTTAGCTTTTGTATAAAAATAATGTTTATACTAAGCTCTATTTTGCTGAGTTAGATATACTTTCTCTTCAAATCATGTCACTTGATCATCATTTTTGCATTCATAAGTCTTCTGATTAAAATATTTAGCTTAAAACATAAAATGTTAATCTTGTGCTTCAACATTAGTGAGATAAAGGCATCATGTATAATTAGTTGGAAACTTAGAGTGTTGTTTGGGGAAGAAAAAATTTTACTAATAGGTTCCTCTGGCTGGTCTAATAAAATTAGCACAATGCAAATTAACAGGATTAAAGCCAATTTAATTTTATAAATATGGAAACCTCAAGGGTATGAAACCCCCAAAGAGTTAAGAAATTGAGGTTTATATATTAACCACTGTGGTCTAAGGAAAGGGAGGTATGGGTCTGGGACTTTACAGAGGAGGAAGGGAATTTAAGGGGAGATGGAGAGAGCAAATCCCTGGTAAACAAATGTAGGGGAGTCTTTCTGATGTAAAAAGAAGCTATCTTCGGCAATAGCTTTTTTCCTGGTACAGGCACACCAGTATCTAAAGTCTTTCAGGTAGTTAAGGAGGAAATAAAAAGAAAAACTTCCAGTGTTCTCTGTTTCTTAACAAATAATCAGCCTGAAATAATCTTCATGAAAAAGACAAATTTTGCTCCCCTAAAGTGCCATCTAGTTTTCCACATGCTACACAAAAGTAAAAGTTGAATTTTGGAGAGTACAACTTACATTATGCTATTTAATTATTTTTAATAGGAGAGTTTTGCTCGTATTATTCTGAACCAAATACAGACGTTTAGAAAATGATTTAGAGGGCTACTGTCTTACCACAGGAAAGTTGGGTAGAGATTGGTCCCATTAACTCATGATGTGGAATGCTCTCTACAAAGTCATTTGGGAACTGGAGGAAGGTAGAGATGCATCCTAGAGAAAACAGTCTTCCACTTAAGTTAGAACAAGATAACTAGCAGGCTGTGTAGAAACAGGACAAAACTATCTGGATACTTGATGTGCACTAATTATGTTCCTTTTTTTGTTACAGGCTCAACGTGGGAAAAGACATTTCGGCAGATTGGCTTTGAAAGGTAACTGGAGTTTAGCATGTCTCCACTTTTACCTTACTAATGTCCTATTTTATTCCAAGTAATTTAATGATTATAAATCAGTAGTATTGCTACCACTACTTCAGTAAGTGAGTGTGTGCCCTTGGATAAGACATCATTTTGCCCTTTGAGACTCAATTTCTTGGTAAAGCAGAGTTTTGCATTATGAAATACTTGCCAACAGTCTGAGTGGACATGAAGATTAAATGGAGGAACTTACGTGAAAATATTTCATAGAGAATTATAGGAATTGGACTTCCTTCTAGCTTATTAACCTCATATGTCATATTCAGTTCTATAGTTTTAGTGAAGAGAAATGTGTATTTATAGTGAGATGTTTCCAATTATTAAAATTATTAGACATTAGCTCTAAGTGAAAGGTTGAGATCACATCGCCCTTTTTTTAAATCCTCGCCCAAGGATATGTTTCATTGACTGTTAGAAAGAGAGGAAGGGATGGGGGAGAAACATCAATGTGAGAGAGAAACACTGATTGGTTGCCTCAGCATACACTCCAACCATGGATCAAACTTGCAACCTAGGTATGTGCCCTGACCAGGATCAAACCTGAAATCTTTTGGTGTATGGACGATGCTCCATCCAACTGAGCCACCCGGCCAGGATGAGATCACATTACTCTGAGGCATTTCCACACTTGCATCTCCCTAAAAGAAAAAAAGAAGTGCCTCATTATAACATCAGAAAATGTAGAAGTAGGGTCTATAAAGTTACTAAACTACCTGTTCTTGGGATTGAATGGCAGCATATTTGATAGATCTCTCCCAGTAGAATTTTTTGTCTTATGTTGATCTTGCAATGTCAATACAGCTATAGGAAGAATGAAAAATAATTTCAATTTTTTTCTCTAAAAGTAGATTTTGACTAATTATTTTCATCATATTGAAAGTGTGTTTTTATGTGTGTTCATCAAGCTGACATAGTGCTTACAATATATAAAAGAAACAATATATTTTTAAATGTGTTCTTTTTCTAATAGTGAGAGAGACTAGCTCATTGCTAGGCCAAGTGTGATAGCATTTTTGTACCATTTTAAAATAGTTTCAAAGATTTATTTATTTCTCTACATACAGTTCTACTCAGTACCATCACTGTTTGGTCTCACAGTAAGTTCTCATAGTTCTTGAGGCTGTTGGGGGAGATTGGACTGGATGAGCAGATCCCACAGGTCAACTTAAAATAAAGAATGGAAAACCGGGTGCAGCTTCATTTCATGGGAAATCTTTTTCCAAAGCATCTTTCTCTCCATTCTCCTTTCACATTCTGAAAAATATCAAACACACATGAAAGGAAAGAGAAAAAGCAAAATGAATGTCACATATCCATTTCCCAAGCTCAGTAAGATTTTGTCATACTTGCTTTACCTATTTTTTTTGCCAGATATATATTTTTTAAAAGGTCAAACATTATGTCATATTGGCCCTATGTAGGTCAGTATACATCTCTGAAAACATGGGTGTTTTCTTCTAGAATTGTAATGCTGCTATCTTACTGAAGGCAAATAACAATAAATCCTCAGCATCCTTTATCACCTAATCAATGTTTAAATTTTCTGACCGTTTCATACATGTCATTTTACAGATATTAGTTTGAATCAGCATGCTACTAAAGTCCATAAATTTCATTTGATCTCTCAAGCCCCTTTACTCAGACAGTTTTCTCCAATTCATTTTGTTTTTCTTCATATCATTGACTTTTGAAGAGGCCAGATCAATTGTCTTGTAGAAGGTCTCACACTCTGCATTGTTTGTTTGTGGTATTGTTTTGCCTGTTATTCTGTTCCCCTATTTGTGTAAACTGAAGTTGTCCTCTTTCAGTCATTGGGAACAACTTCATGTTGACTTCTTTTCTTTTTGACACAGACTACTGGTCTTTTATAGTTTCCATGTTCCTAGCACAACTAGATAGATGTACTGAGTCAGACATCCTCCAAGGAGTCCTGCCTTCTTTAGTAAGTATAGTGATTGGAAACCATAAACTAAATACTAGGGGTGCTCATCAATTCTGACATGGCATTGTTTCTGGGCCTTTTCAAAAGATAGAGCTAGGAAATATCTTCTTTTAAGAAAAATAAATCCTGAAGTCATACAGTATTTTCCATTCAAGTGTAATCTTACAGAATTTTTAATTTCTCTGATATTACCTGTTTCATTTTAATGGAAATATAATATTTTCAAAATAATACTAACACTAATATTACCACTTATAATAAGGTCACTGAATGAAGTTTGAAATTTTTTCACTTTGTATTAATTTTATATTTTATTAAAAATGTAAGATCTGCCCTAGCTGGTGCAGCTCAGTGGACTGAGCACCAGCCTGTGAACCAAAGGGATGCTAGTTCGATTCCCAGTAAGGGCACATGCCTGGATTGCAGGCCAGGTCCCCACTAGGGGGCATGTGAGAGGTAACCACATATTGACATTTCTCTCCCTGTCATCCTTTTCCTTCTCTCTAAAAATAAATAAATAAAATCTTTTAAAAGGGTCAAGTCAAGGAACATGTATAAAGGGACACATGGATAAAGCCAAAGTGGGAAAGGATTGAGGGAGGGAGAGGGGTAGTGGGGTAGGGGAAGGTGTTGGCAGGGAAAATGGAGACAAATGTATTTGAACTATAGATATATATATATCTATATATAAAAAAAAATCCCTTTTAACCAGGGAGGTTCCAAAAGGATCTAGACTATCAGTAGTTCCTGAAATGCAAAAATATTTTCTAGTCTTGTGAATTCTAAAAATCTCCCAAGTCCAATATGGATTTAAAAGACATCAATAGGATTAGAAATAGCATTTTCAATAAAAAAGATGCATAACAAAGTAGGAAAAAATTAACATTAAAGAAATAAATAAAAATCTAAGATCAAAAACTGAAAACTAAAGTTGCCTAAATTTCTTTATCTTTCTATGTGCTAATATCATAGATTTATATATATATAAAATTTATATATATATATAAATAAATTTGGTTCATTTGTTTTAGAATCTTTTTAACTCCACAGATTTTTTTCTTTATTTTAATTTTATTTTTGAATATATAACATTATCTCTCCAAGTACAAATTATATGGCAGAGGTTTTTTTTCCCCCAGAAAAATGTCACATTCTTCCCTTTCCCTTGTACCCTGTTCATTCTTTCTTCTATAGTTACCATGTTTATTAGCTTTTGGTTTAACCTTTTGATGTTTACTTTTGCTTACACAAGCTAATCCTTACTATATCTGTGTTCTTCCACTACCATGCATTAAGAGTGTCATATTAAATACATTCTTCTGTACTTTGATTTTTCTTTTACTGAGAGTATATACCCTAGAGATCATTCCACATTAATGTTTATGGATGGTCTTGACTACATTAACCTGCAGATGACATTGTCTTGTGTGGATGAGCTAACACGAGAAATGAAATTGGTCAAATCAAGGATCTTATCAGTATCAAGTTACTAATAATTTCAAGGATACACGTGATCAGGGGACACTTATACTGCTGGGAAAAATCCGGGATTTCCCATGTGGCTCCCCAAGTCCATTCTCTCTGATTCAGAGTGACAAATGAGATTTCTAATGAGGCTTGCAGGTCCCTAACATTGCAGGGAATATTTAATTTGGCAGCATCCCCAGTTTTATACCTAAGAAACTTGAATAGCTCATATGATATTCTCCAGGGAGCCAAGCTTCATAACTTTATGGATTGAAGATTTGTTTACCATAACAGGTTGAACCAGGGATTTCCTGCCTGAAGCATCCCATCTATGAGGACCGGCTCATGAGCAAAAGTCATTAATCTATATGTCCAGTGATCTAGTTAATATTTACAAGGAGCTTAAACCAGGTCAATTACCTTTACCCCCCACCCCCAGTGCATTCATGGTAATCAGGAGAAAAATGGAGCACAGACCATTTCCTTTACCTCATCCTTCAATACCCTATGGGTGGACATTTAGGCTGTTTCCAGTCTTTTGCTCTTAAAAAGAAAGTTTTGTTAAATACTGCCAAGTTTTTCTCCCTAGAATCTCAACAACTTTCACTCCCATCAGCAAAGCATGAGTATAACTAATTTGTCAGAACCTTGCCAACAGACTATGCTGTCAAACTTCAGATTTTTGCCAGTTTGACAGGTGAGAAATGGTATTTCAGTGTCCTTTTAATTTGTATTTATCCTTGGTTATTTTTTCATTGAGTAAAAACAGGCTGAGGTTTTTTGCTCTCTGCAAAGTGGGATACTTTGGGCAAGAGCATCTTCTAAAATGGTTAAGGATTCATTGATCAACAGGACGTGGCTATTGAAGCATTTTCTTCCCGGCTGACGTGACCTTTACCTTTTATTTATTGAATAATGACTTAATGCAAACAGTGACCATGTCCCAAGGACTATGTTAAATAATTTCTAGTCCATACAACACCTCATAGACCAGGAATTGGCAGATTTACTGTAAAGAACAGATCATAAACATTTCAGGCTTTTACAAGCCATACAATTTCTGTTCTATTTTCACTTTTGCCACTATACCAGAAAAAAGCCATAGATAAATGGTGTGGCTGTATTCAAATAAAACTTTATTAACAAAAACAAAAACAGGTAGCTGGCAGAAGGTGACTGCTGGCCATCATTGACCACCACTGTAGACTATGGTCACCATCTCTCAGGTAAAGGAAGTCAAAAAAAATCAAATAGTCTACCCATGCAGAGCCATTCATCTTGACCTGCATTCAAGTAAAGGTTTGCCTGATTTCAGACTGAGATTTGTTACAACAAACCATGCCAAATTATTGAATTATACGTCTCTTCCATTTTGTGTTGTTTTATTTTTTCTAGTCCTATTTCCCTGAGGACATAACCCCAAATCACAAGTTTCATTGGCAGTTCTCATATTATGGATATTTTAAGTAAACCCAGATAGTATAAATTCTATATTATAGTGCCTCCCTAAAATTATATTTTCAAATAAGTGTACAAATACAAATAT